CGCGGAAGGTCTGGATCGTGGTGAGGGTGCGGATCTCCATGGGGAGCTCGTTCCATAGGGTCGGGGCAGCAGCAGAGAAGGAGAGGAAGGAGCAGAATAAGAGAAGGGACCTTGGAGGTCTTCTAGTCCAACTCCCTGCTCAAACAGGAGACCCTACATCGTTTCAGACAAATGGCTGTCCAATCTCTTCTTGAAAACTTCCAGTGTTGGAAAAGTCACAACTTCTGGATGCAAGTTGTTTTACTGATTGTTTAGATGGGCAACCTGCATTTGCTCACTTTCCACACAGCAACTGTTCATGGAAAGCCTAATTTCAAGGGACAATTTTGAGCGTGCAGAAGTTTCTCTACCACCACCAAAAAAAGTAGATTTCCCGAAAACCCTGGGAGACAGTCCCAGATATTCCCTTTCCTTAAGCGAAGGAGAGATCGGATTAGCAAGGCCTTTCTGCCAGGAAGAAGGCAAAATCTCTGGGCACCAGCAAGCGACAGCAGTTATCCACCATAAGAGCCCAAGCAGGGGGAAATCTTCAAAGAGAGCGGGAAGAGCATCCGTCCAGAAGGAACTGAGCAGGGGGTGGGATGAGGTCAAGGCCCTTCCAGCCCTAGGGCTCCATGGTTCCTATGCAACACGGCCCTCCCTCAGCATCCCTCTCTGATGCCTCCCCTTCGGCTAAGCCAAGCACAGCGCCTGGGTTCCCTTCCTGGGGCTGAGCGCGGCCCAACCCAACCCTCCTGCGGCCCTCTCTTAGGTTTCCTCCACCTCCCGGGACAGCAGAGGAGGAAGGGCCTTCTGAGGCTCTGAGCAGGACCTAGAGAAGGGCTGCAGCTTTCAGGCTACGGGGGCCCGGAGGGTCAGTCGGCCTCCAAGAAGCCTTTTCCTCCAGACGCCATATCCAAACAGCCGGAGAGATTCCCACGGCCACCACAAGCCTCACTCGGGGCCTTTGCTCCGGACAAGGCAGGAAAAAGCTTCTCGCCCCTGAGCCTCAGGCCCTCAAGCCCACCCACCCCACCCGTAACTGGGGCTGGACGCAGGAGCCCAGCTGGGCCGGCCGTGAAGCAAGTGGCCTCTTGGGGGGGGATGGGGGAAGCGCCCCAGAGAAACAGAGACCTCCAACTGGCCGAAGAGACGGGAAGGAAAATGGCTGATGGGGAGCCTGGCTTGAGCAAAGAGAAAGGGGGCAATTGGCATGCAGTTCTCCCAGGATGGGCCCACTCGTGCCCACCCTGCCCTTGGCAGCTGCACCACTGCCCTGCCGGCTGCTGCAGGCAGCAATAACAACAACAGGAGGAGGAGGAGGAGGAGAGCACCAGCTCCTACGCGAAGGCAACGAAAGGCAACCGGGGGCCTCGGAGTCCAGCCTTCCCCACTCCCGCCATCCCTGTTTCCCCCCCCCAGCTCCCCCCCCCAGCCGTGCCAGGCAGAAGGCTGAGGAGCAGCAGCCGCCGCCAGCCGCCTGAGACTGTACCTTCCGTGTGGTGGCAGCCTGTTTCATGGTTGCAGAAGGGAAGGAAGGAGCAGACAGAGAAGAGGAGAAGGGAGAAGAGAAGCAGACAGAGGATTAAACCATCCAGTCAGTCACAACACCACAGCCCCTCCCTCCCTCCCTCCCGCAGAGCCTCCTGCAAATGGCTGCAGCCCCGTCTTGCTTCCGGAGCCTCCTGGATCCCAGGCTGATTCCCGGGGCTGGACAGCTGGGGAGCATCCGAGCAGCCGCCAGAGCCACGGGCGGGGCGGGGGCAGGCGGCACATCCCCTCCGCCAGCAGCCTCCAACCACCGCCTGGTTGCTGATTACATCACCACGCCAGAGCCCTCCCCTCCCCTCCCCGTCCTTGCAGGCATCTCCCGGCTCCAGAGCTGCGGCTGCTGCTGCTGCTGCACCAGAGATGGGCCAGGCGCCTTTCCCGGAGGGGGGGGGGAGAGATGCACCTGGAGTTCGGCTGTCTCTCCATTCCCCCTCCCCCACCAAGCCTCCCTCCAGGGGTTCTAAGGAGCCTCCTTCCTTGCAGTTCTTCTCTCCACCCCCCCCTCCAAGGCTGCCTCTGTCTGGGGGGCTTCTGGCCGTCCCCTCCCCACAGGCCAGAGCCTAGCCTTCTGGGGAGGAGAATGTCTTTCCTCCTATTGGTAGGATATCCAGGGGAAAGCGCCCTAGAGAGTGGCAGGGGCCCACTTTGCCCCCCCTCTTCCTGGGAGCCCCCCCCCCCAGCCAGAGGAGGGGAGGGGTTTAGGGCAGAGCCTAGTTCCGTGATGGGGAACCTTTGGCACATGTGCCAGAATCTCTCCGGGCACGCCAGCCGTCACCCGTGGCTCTTCCGGGCACGCCCGCCAGCTGGCCTCCACGCGCAAGGGGCAGCACCGGAAACCGGAAGAGCATCCGCCCAGGACGCACACAGGAAGAGGATCTTGCAGTTTCTGGGGCGCAGATGTGCAAGCGCACTGGCCAGCTGTTCCTTCCAGCACGCGTGGGCACTCCTGCCCTGGGCACTCAGTGCCGAAAAGGTTCGCCAGCCCTGGCCTCGTTGGGGGAGTTGTCTGAACTCATCATCAGCCAAAGCCAGAGGCCCCCGATTGCAAGGCCACTCCAGAAAGGAACACCCCCCCCTTGCTTCTGCCCCAGAAGGGGGATCCCCTGCCCCCTCCCCATGCCCTGCAGGGGTGGCTGAGGACGGGAAGGGCTTTGAAAGGGAAGGGGAGGCTGTGGGAGATGGGGAGTCCTTTGACCAGAAGGGAACAAAGGCCGTAAATGGACAATTCCAGGCAGGGTGAAATGGATCCAAGGACACATTTCATGCCCAGGAGCCTCTGGTGCTCCTCCTCCTCCTCCTCCTCCTCCCCCTCTGTTTGGAGCCTCTGCCGTGTTTGTCCCTTTTCTGGGGCTGGGAAAGGGAGGCTGAAGGAAGAGCCCCCCCCCTCCCTCTTTGGAGGCCCAGCTACCCAAAGTCTTGGTCTGGCAGCTCCTGTGGCTCAGCCCTCCCAGAGGAAAGGAGCTGGCAGGGGCCACAGAGAGGGCCCCTCCCTCCCTCCCTCCCTCCCTGCTGCAGTGGGCCCCCAGGGTGCACCTGGCCTTCAGGCTCTGCTCAGGGCCCTGGGAGTCCAGGGCGGGTGGGGAGGGGGGCAGCAAGAGAGCTCCTAAGCAGAGCAGAAGGTCTGGCTCTGTACGAACCGGACGTCTCCCAGACTGGGGGGTCTCTGAAGGAGACAGACTGCACGGCTGGGCAGGATAAGCACCGGCCTCTAAATATTTCCCCCAAGCCCCTTCCCCAAATTCTCCATGGCCCTTTCCCAGCCCCAAGATAGGAAAAACTGGCCATTGGGCCGAAAAAAAAGAAAGAAAGGAAGGGATTATTTAATTTTGCTGCAGAAACAAAAATGGTTACAGAGCACAAGTAGTCCTCGACTTACGACCAGAATTGAGCCCAAAACTTACATTACTAAGCGAGACGTTTCTTAAGTGAGTTTTGCCCCATCTTGTGACCTTTCTTGCCACAGTCCTTAAGTAAATCACTGCAGTTCCTAAATTAGTAACCCGGTTGTTAAGTGAACCGGGCTTCCCCAATGACTTGGCTGGTCAGAAGGGCACAAAAGGGGATCACGTGGCTCCGGGACACTGCGGCCGTCATAAATACGAGTTGCCAAGTGCCTGAATTTTGATCAGCCGGCCACTTTTTCCAGTCGTGTTGTAACTTTGAACGGTCACTAAATGAACCGTTGTAAGTCGAGGGCTGCCTGTATTCCCAGAGAGCTTTTGGGGGCCAGAATGGAAGCTCCTCCTCTGACACTCGGTGCCCCTCTGCTTCTCCTAGAGCAGTGTTTCTCAACCTTGGCAACTTGAAGATGTCCGGACTTCAACTCCCAGAATTCCCCAGCCAGCATTTGCTGGCTGGGGAATTCTGGGAGTTGAAGTCCGGACATCTTCAAGTTGCCAAGGTTGAGAAACACTGTCCTAGAGGAAATGCGGCCTTCCACTGAGCCCGCTCCCTCCCACCGGCTGAAGGCCCACGAGCAACTCCGGCCCCAGGGGCTGCCAGCCTTTGATTCCTACCAACAGCCCTGAGACCTTTCCAGGACGAAAGTCCCCTGCACGGATCTTTCCGCAGAAGGCAGACCCCTCCAGAGGCCTTTGGAGACGGAGGGTAAAGGAAGCCCTCCCCCCCCCCCCTTTGGAGAAGAGGCGGCAGGCACAGCCAAGAGGGTCCCGCAGGGCAGCCGGAGGAGGAGGAGGAGGAGGAGGAGGAGGAGGACTCTCCCCAGAGAGGAGGCTGCCTAGAAACAAGGCCCATTATGTGCAGACACCAAGGGGGGGGGAGGACACATGATTCCACAGCGGAGGGGGGAGGAGATGCCCAGAAGACACGGCTAGCCATTGTCTGCTCCAACGCAGCTTATTCTTGGGGGGGGGCTCCCCTCCCCTCCCCTCCGCAAGTGGCTCTGGTCAGCCTAGAAGGGCCGAGAGTCAGGCCTCTGCACAGCCCTGGCCTTATGGAACCCCCTGGGCACTCAACGGAGGGCCCTTCCTCCTGGCCCCCTAGGTCGATCAGAGCACCCCAAAAGCTTCCTCCTCCTTGGAAACCAGCCTCCCTGCACCCCATGGCCTCTGAGGGATCCCCCTCCCAAGGGCAACCGCAGGATCCAAGGAAAAGCTCCGTGCAATCAAAGGGTGGAGTTTTGCAAGATCCCTCGGACTCCCCAGGCAGCCCCTTCAGCCTCCAGCCCCCCATGACTCCCTTAGGCCTAGGGGCAAGCAGGCTGGGGCTGAGCACCCAAGGACCCCCCTGAGAAACCCGAGCCTGGGCAGGGAAGGAGCGAGGAGGAGGGGGGGGCGCACTCTCCTCCCAATACCCCTGGGCTGCCTCAGCACCTGCGCCTCTCCCAGGCCGGGAGGCAGGTGGCAGGCCCAGAGGGGGGAGGGCCAAGGAGGGGGAGGGAGGGGCCTCCCCCCCCACAGCCATCTGTCACCCAGAAGGACGGCCAGAGGCACCAACTAATCCAATCAGCCGCTTGCCTGGCTGGACCAGGAGGGACCGGCTGCCCAGAGCCCCCCCTGGACTCAGCTTAGTTTGGACAGCATGGGGGGGGGACAAAGACCGGAGCCCCTCCCAGCCTCACTTTCCTCCCGGGTGCCACCAGGGCCCCCCTGGCACTCTCAAGGGCACCAGGCCACCTGCCGCCAGGCAAGCCCAGACCTGTTGCCGGAAGCCAAACAGAGGAGAGGCCACTGAGCGCTGGTGGGAGGGGGGGGCCTCTGCCGGGCACTCCTCCAGGCGGGCAGAGACAGAACCAGGGCCAGATTGGGCCTCATGCAGAGCCGGACGGACGGAGGGAGGTTCTGCAAGCAACGGGCGCAAGCAAGGAAGGAAGGAAGGGAGGCATGCAAGGCCAGCCTCAGGCACATGCAGCGGCGGGAAGGAAGCAGAGCTGGAAGACAAGGAGGCGGCGGAGGCTCCCTCCCCCCCCCCCGCGACTCCCCGCTGAGGTTCGGAGCCAGGAGAAAGCAGGTAGGACCCCGCAGGCTGGAGACCAAAGGAGGGAGGGGAGGGGGGAATCAGAGGGCTCAGAAGGGGTGCTAGGACTTTCTGCAGGGATGAAGGGGGGGGGGCTGAAAAGCCTCAGCCTCTGCTTCTCCTCCGCTACTTAGAGCAGGGACCCCCCCCCCCCAAAGGGCTCCTTCCCTTGCTGGACAGCGTGAACAGAGCTCCAGTCCAATTCTCCTCTAAGGCCACCTTCCCAGACCCCCTGCGGCCACATGCCCCGCAGCCCCTAGCCCAGCAGTGGGAAGCCTGCCCTCCCTGTTGCTCTTTGGGCAGAGCAGTGGCCGGAGACTCGGGGGGGGGGGGGTCCCCAAACCTGGCGGCTTTTAAGACTGCTGGACTTTAAATCCCAGGCAGCAATGGATTCCGTGGGTTGAGGTTCACAGTGGAGAGACCCTTGTCCTAGAAGGCAGTTAAAGGGCCGAGCGGGGGGGGGGGGGGGGGGGGGAGAGAGAGAGAGAGAGGATGGGGGTCTCGATCCCTACAGCAATTACCCACAGCTGCCCTCTGGCTCTGGGAGGAAGCCCACCCCCTGCCTGGGGAAATCTGCCCCCACAGCTGCAAAGAGGGGAAAGACCCTGCCGCTCTCCCCAAACTGCTGTGGGGATTATCAGGGCAAAGGGGGCTGCCGTGGTGCCCTTTCCCCTCCGCTCACGGCCAGGTCAGGCGGGGGGTGGTGGTGGCAGGAGGGGGGGGGGCATCTGGGTTTACAGCTTTCTTTGTGGCTGCCAGAAATCCCAAGTAAGCCGGCTGGAGAATTAGCCGCCTCTTTCCGGCCACGGCTAAGCTGGTGATGGGACGTGTGTCCCAGGGAGCCCGTCAGACCCCTCGGGTGCCCTAACCGGAACATCCATGCACGGGGGACGCATGCGTGTGTGCAGCAGCTGAGGCCACGGCAGCCACAAGCGTGGCCTTTTGCACAACCGTTTCATGCGCAGGAGAAAAAAGAGACACCACCTTTTTAGGTTTCACTCCGCGCTGCATAGAAAGAGGACAAAAGGAGAGGTTAGATGGTGGGGAGGGGGGGGGGTGGAAAGGCGTCCCAGGTGTTCCTGCTTTCAGGGCCTTTCTGGAAAGCAAAAGAAAAGCCTGTGTGCCCCCCCCCCCCACGAAGGGCAGAATTGAAGCCCAGCAGGGAAAGGGGTGGGAGCTGAAGCCCCCTTGGCGCGTGTGGTCCACCAATCCTTTCCAGGAACCTCATTCCACGCCCAGCACACGCACAGTTTGAGTGCAAGGAGGACACCCAATTGGTCTCCAGACAGGAGGCTCAGAACGAAGCGAGGCCGGAAGACGCAGCCGTGTGATGGGCTGGGGTCCCCAGCAACCTCTCCCCACCCCATACAACCTGCAGCCCAGCAGGAGGAGGGCTTTGCGTGATTGTGGATTTCTTTGCAACGCACTTTCCTGAACCTCCCAGTTTTGCTCCCAAACAAAGAAACGCCCAAAGTGCCAAAGATGAGGGGAAACTGCAGAAACCCTGATGGCTTTGTGGGAAATTATGTCAACTTTTTCTTTGAATGGACGCATAAAAATGCTTTTTGAAAGGACGATTCAGCTACGCAACATCTGGTTCCTCTGTTTGTCTCCACCGGCCACGTTCAGACTAGCAAACCCCGTGGAGAGAGGAGAGGGGCCGCCTGCCCCATTGGCCCCTCCTATTCCTCCCCCGTGACTGCAGGACGCTCCCCAAAGGGAATTCCTGGCTGGGAGGAAGGACAGGAAGGCTCAGGAGCCCCCCCTCCCAGCCTGGATGCCTTTCCTGGAGCAGGACCAGCTCTGCAGCGTATGGGCCGGCCTGCAAAGTGACAGGAGGGCAACTCTCCCCCCCCCCCCAGACTGCCCTGCCCAGCCCAGCCCAGCCCAGGGGGACACAAGCCATGTGCTTAAGTGACAGCAGCTGCTCCCGGAGAGCCCAGGGGAGGCGGCCACAGCTGTCCTCCCTTCTGGGAAACCTCTCTTTCCCAGCTCCCCACCTGACTCCCAACGGAGCTGCCTGCTGCTTCAGACTGGGAGCCCCCCACCCAGGCCGTGATTTGCCCCTCCAGTTCAGGGCAGGGGAAAGAGAGCTCCGGCCCCAACCCTCGCCTGGTGTGGGGAGGCGCCAAAGGCCCAGGGGGGGCTCCTGTTATTGGGGGAGACCTGGGCAGGCACCCAAGGTTGACGGGCTCTGACCGTGAACAGCGCAGGGGCCAGGACAACATGTGGCGGTCGGAGGGATCCCACCATTCAGGATCTCAGCCACTGCCTGACATGCCTGCAGGGCGGACAGGAAGCTGGTCCCTTCCCTTCCGCAGCCCTGATCTGGGCCCAGTGCATTCCGAGGGGGACCGGTGGGAGCAGGGGGGCAAGAGCCTCGGGACTGAGGGGGCTTAAGGAAGGGCAAAGTCCTGGGCGGAGCAGAGAGGGCTAAGAGAACCAAGAGGAAAGGCCCCTGAGGAGGGGCTGCAGAAGTCGTGGGGGGGGGGGGACCAGCTCCAAAGAAGGCCCAGAGGAGCAGCTTCTTCCCTGCAGCACTCAACGGAGAGAACCAGCCTGGCCGGAGGACGGAGTGGATGGAGGACCACAGGGAGAGGCCATCCGATGGACAGAAGGAGCAAAGGAGCAAAGAGCTGAGCCGGACCTCGAGACGGAGAAAGCCATAAAAACAGAAAAGCAGAAGAAAAACCCTCCCAAAGGCCGAATTCTTTTCTGTGGCCACAGAATCAGAAGAGGTTAGCAGGGAAGAGCCTGGGGGGCGAACGGAGCCCTCCGGGAGGCTTCATTCAGGGAGACCCGGGGGGAGGGGCCCCTCTTGGTCGGCACAGGAAGACGGGCGACCCAGAAGGGCTTCGCTTCCAGCTCTTGGGGAGGGGCCTTCTGGATTCCCAGTCCTTTTCATCAGGGGCTGATGGGGAACCAGCCGAGCACACGGGGCAGAGGTGTTGTTTTAGGTGGTTACGAAAAGGGTCAGGAGGGGGTGAAGGTTGTCTTATGTAAAGCAGGCAACCCCCCCCCCCAAATGATACGCAGTGGCCTCCATTGAGCAATCTCTGGTGGGACCTTTTCCTTTGCAAGGAACCTCAGGCGGGCACAGGGGGCATCAAATGACGACAGAAAGAAACTACTCACCAGTTTGCTGGTCTTGGGCCCTTCGGAAGAATCTGGAGGAGAATCAAAACAAGGACATTTTGACAGTGATTCCACTGGGGGAGGTTTTCCATAGGCCCCCCAAGGCTGCCCCTCAGGAGCTTCTGGGGAATTCCCTGGGCCCCCTTGGAAAAAAGAGCTCTGAAGGAGGAAGCCCCGAATCCCGCATGCTGCCCACTCTAGACGTGGCCCCCGGGGGCCCTGGCAGGGACTGGCGGAAGGCTCCCACCAGAAGGTGTGCCCAATCTGTCTGTGGCTTCAGAAGTCCCGGGAGCTTTTTGTTCCACCGCTGTCCTATTATTAGCGTTTCATACGATACTTTTTTTGCACGTTATTTCTTTGATTTATTGTGATTCCTCGTTTCCTCATCCTCCAGAGCTGGGATTCAGCTGCCTGCATAGGGCTCTCTCCCTCCCCCCATTTTTTCTTACCAAAGCCCCCCCTCCCGGCCCAGAGACCCCACCCCTGCCCCACCCACTGTGGCTGCTGGGCTACAGAGGGGGACCACTCAAAGCCCTCCAGGGAGCTCATGGAGCTGAGGGAGACGGGCCCTTATGTGCCTCCCAGTCCCAGCCTTAGACCCCCCCCCCCCACACACAGACGGCCCTGCTGCTGACTGGCATCACTAGCTGCAAGGCAGCAACCAGTCAACCTGCAGGGTGGAGAGACCGATATTTGCAGTGCAGCTACCATGAAGACTCTCCCTGGCTTAAACTGCTCCTGGCCTGGCCTGAATGTCCAGCTGGAAGAAACGCAGGCTGAACCACAACCGGAATATAATCTAACGGTTGGGTTGGCAATATATAAATCATGTAACTATGCTGTACCTGTTTCTTTAAATCATGCTGTAAATGTGATTAGTTGCTGTTTCCTCAATCGGCCATAAGATGGAGCCAGAAT